GGAAAAGAAAATAAAAGATGTAAGTTGCAGTGGCTACAAAAAAATAATTCAGTCCATTTAGAGTCATGTTTGTAAATGTGCAAGGTAAGGTCCAACTTCATTTTTTCTCTTGTCGGTTTCCAATATTCCCAACCCTATTTGTTGAAGAGACTGTCCTTTCCTCGTTGTGGATTCTTGGAACCCTTATTGAAAATAAGTTTACTATATACATGAGGATTTATTTCACGATTCTCCAATATGTTTTATCTTTTATTTATCTTTCTGTCAGTAGCACACTGTTTTGAGTATAATAGCTTTGTAGTATGTTTTAAAATCAGAAAGTATGATGTCTCTGTGTTACTCTTTCCCAAGATTGTTTATCCATCTGTGGTCTCTTGAGATTCTATAGACATTTTAGACTATTTTAATACATGTGCAAAAAGTTCCATTAACATTTTGATGGAGAGTACATTTAATCTGTAGATCATTTGGAATAGTATTGGCATCTTAACAATATTGTCTTTAAACTCTTGAACAAGAGTTTGTTCGAGAGTTTATTTAATTTCCACATATTTGTGGACATGCCATTTTTCGTTCTGTTCTTAACTTCTAGTTTTATTCTATTGTAGTAAGCAGTGATGCTTTGTGTGATTTTCATCTGCTTAAATTTGTAAGACTTTTTTTGTGGCTTAACAGGTTGTCTATATGTGATAATGTGTCATATATGGTGAAGGATGTCATGTATTCTGCTGTTGAATGGTCAGTTCCATATATGACTATTAGGTCTAATTGTCTATAGTGTTGTTCAAGTCCTTTGTTTCCTTGTTGATCTTCTGTCTCTTTTATTCTTTCCATTAGTGAAAATGGAGGGTGGAGGTCTCCTACTACTGTTGTACTGCTGGCTACTTATAGCTTCAATTCTGTAAAAGTTTGCTGGTTGCTGCATGTATGTGGGAGCTGTGATGTTAGGTGCATATTGTTAATATTTATTACAGCTTCCTGGACAATGAACCCTCTTATAATTGTATAATGCTCTTTCTTGTGTCTTGTGACATGTTTTGATATAACATGTATTTTAACTAATATGACAGTATTTTACTTTGCACACTATTTATTTTCCATTCTTAATTCCATTTGAATTTTAGAATCATTTTTTTCTAATTCTGTGAAAAATGACATTGGTAGTTTGATAGGAATCATATTGGATCTCTAGATTGCTTTGGGCAGGATGGTCATTTTAATGATGTTGATTTTTCTATGACCATGAATGTTTTTCCAATTGTTTGTGTTATCTATTATTTTTTTCAACAGTGTTTGTAGTTCCCCTTGTAGAGATCTTTAACCTCATTGGTTATATCTGTTTCTAGGTATTTGGTTTCTTCATTATGTATATGGCTATTGTAAATAGAATTATGTTCTTGATTTGGCTCTGAGCTTGAATGTTATTGGTGTCTAGAAATGCTACTAATTTTTGTACTTTGATTTTGTATCTTGAAATTTTACTGGAGTTCCTTATAAGTTTTAGGATACTTTTGGCACAGTCTCTCGAGGTACAGAATCGTATCAGCAGAAATGATGTTACTTTCTTCTTTTCCTCTTTGGATGCCTTTTATTTCATTCTCTTGACTGATTTGTCTGGCTAGTACTTCCATTACTATGTTGAGTAGAAGTCGTGAGAGTGGGCGTTCTTGTCTTCTTGTTTTTAAGGGGAATGCCTCCAGCATTTGCCTGGTCAGTAATGTTGGCTGTGGGTTTCTTATAGATGGCTCTCATTATTTTGAGGTGTGTTTCTTCAATTCTTAGTTTGTGGAGGGGCTGTTTTTTAATCATTAAAGGATGTTAACTTTTATCAAAAGCTTATCTCATATCTATTGAAATAGTGATTTTTTTGTTTGTTTGTTTGTTTTTTGAGATACAGTCTCCCTCTATCCCCCAGGCTGGAATGCTCACTGCAACCTCTGCCTCCTGGGCTCAAGGGATTATCATGCCTCAGCCTTCTGAGTGCCTGTGAGAGCCTCCTGAGTGCCTGCATGCGTCACCACACCCAGCTAATTTTTGTGTTTTTAGTAGAGACAGGGTTTCACCATGTTGGCCAAGCTGACCTCAGGTGATCTACCCTCCTTGGCCTTCCAAAGTGCTGGGATTATAGGAGTCAGCCACTGCACCCAGCTTTTAAATTTTAATTCTGTGTGCTGAATCACATTTAGTGATTTTCACATGTTATACCAACCCTGCATTCCAGGAATAAAGCGTAGTTAATTGTGGTGAATTACCTTTGGGTGTGCTCCTGGATTTGGTTTGCTAGTATTTTGTTGAGGACTTTTGTATCTATGTTAATCAAAGATATTGTCCTGTAGATTTCTTTGTTCCTTGTGTCTTTGCCAGATTTTGGTAACAGACTGATGTTGGCCTCATAGAATGAGAGGGGAGGAGTTCCTCCTCATTTTTTGGAATAATTTCAATAGAATTGATACCAGCTCTTCCTTATATTTCTGGTGTAATTCAGCTGTGAATCCATCTGGTCTAGGGTTTTTCTTTTTTTTTTTTTTTTTTTTATGGTTGGTAGGTTTTTTATTACTGATTCAATATCAGAACTTGATACTGGCTTGTTCAGGGTTTCAGTTTCTTCCCTGTTTAATCCTTGGAGATTTTGTGTTTCTAGGAATTTCTCTGTTTCCTCTAGATTTTCTACTTTATGTGCACAGAAGTGTTTATAAGTCTCTGGGAATCTTCTGTATAACTGTGGGATCAATTGTAATGTCCCCTTTGTTGTTTCTGATTGTGTTTATTTGGATCTTCTCTTTTTCTTTAGTAACCTAGCTAGAGGTCTATCGATCTTGTTTATCCTTTCAAAGAACCAACTTTTGGTCTTGCTGATGCTTGCTGATGTATGGAATTTGGGGTCTCAATTTAATTCAGTTATCTGATTTTAGTTATTTCTTTTCTTCTGCTAGCTTTGTGCTCAACTTATTTTTCTTTTTCTAGTTTCTTTACATGTGATCTTACATCATTAATTTGAGATCTAATTTCTAATTGAAATCTAATTTCTTGAAGCAGGCATTTCGTGTTATAAACTTCTTTTAATGTGACTTTAGCTGTGTCCCAAAGATTTTGGCATGTGTTTTCTCTGTTTTCACTTATTTCAAAGAATTTTTTGATTTGTGCCTTGATTTCATTGTTACTCAAAAGTTGTTGAGTCAGTTGTTCAATTTCTATGCATTTCTGTGGTTTTGAGAGATCATCTTGGTATTGTTTTCTGTTTTTATTCTATTTTAAAGAATATGGTTGGTAGTGAAAAAAAGAAAGAAACAAAAAAATTACTTATACCATTACTGGAGATAGTAAAAAAGAAAAAAAAAGAAAGAAAAAAAAAGAAACAAGAGTATGGTTGGTATGATTTTGATTTTTTTTTTTAATTTATTGAGACTTGCTTTCTGGCTGAGCACATAGGGTCAATCTTCAAGTGTGTCCTGTGTGCATATGAAAGATATGTGTGTTCTGTGGTTGATAGGTGAAGTATTCTGTAGAGGTCTATTGATTCCAATTGGTCTATTCTGTAGATGCCTATTAGGTCCAGTTGGTCATGTGGAATTGCTGTCCAAAATTTCTTTGTTAATTTTCTGCCTCAATGTCCATGGGTTATTGAAGTATCCCACTGTTACTATGTCGCTATTTTTTTTTCCTCAGGTCTAGAAGTACTTTTTTTTATGAATCTTGGTGCTCCACAGTGTGGTGGATAGGTGTTTAGCATATTTAAATATTCTTATTGAATTGAACTCTTTATCTGTATGTAATATATCCTTTTCCTTTTGTGCAGTTGTGGGCTTAATGTCCTCATTTCTTAAAGAAAACAAATAATGCCAAGTGTAGTTGCTGATGTTATCCCAGGACTTTGACAGTCTGAGGCTATAGGATTCCTTGAGGCCAGGAATTCTTAAACATCCTAGATGACCTAGCAAGACCCTATCTGTACAAAGAATTTTAAAAAGTATTCAGATGTGATGGTGCACTCCTATAGTCATAGCCACTTGGGAAAGTGAGGTAGGGTGACTGCTTTAAGCCGGGAATTCAAGGTTCCAGTGAGCTATGATTGCAATCTGGCCTGGTGACAGTGTAAGACCTTGTCTATAAGAAAAAGATATTTTAAATTATTTTAAAATTAATTAACAGATTACTACTTCTCTAGCTTCACTTGGATATTAATATGTTAGTTAATAGATTTCTACTTCTTTAGATTTACTTTCATTTTGGTCCTTTGATTGGACCGTGTTTTTAAATTACTTTTTCTTGTGATTTTGTTAATATTTTGATCAATTAAGAAACAGCTACCTATTCATCTTTTATGGAATGAATTTGTACCGGGGAAAACAGATACCTATCAGGCTATAGTCATTCTGGGTAATTCTTCAAACTGTCAGGATGTGTCTTCTCTGGACTACTGTGTGTATTTTCCTATGTAAAAGATTTGCTTTTTTCTCTCTTAGGAGCCTTTAATCTCTCCCTTTGATGACTGTCATAGGCACTAATGTCTCTCTGTTGTTGTAACAAGCATTCATCTTTGTTCTCAGTTGACCTGACATGTCATTTCAAATATATCACCATTTTCTTCAGCATCACATATTAAAGGAGGCAATGACCAGTCCTTAGATAGCCCCAGAGTAACCCAGAAGTTTGGACATATGTTTCACTCCTTTTTTTTTTTCTTTCCTGAGGGTGAAACACAATGTGAAAAGTTTTTGTGTAACTACACTGTGCTGTGGTGCACGAATACAACAAACTGTCTTCCTTCTGGATGCAACCATTCTTGGCTTTGTGTTCACCTAGGCACTGCAAACTCAACTGGCTTTAGTCACCCTATTATATATAAGTACATATATCAATTGAGAAAACAAAGGGGCCTCAAGTTTTTGACTCAGCTATCATGGTGTTCTCAACTTGTTGTAATTTTATGTATTAGATTTATAAATTATTTTCACCTGAATGTAGTAATTGGAATTTTCAAGACTTTTGTTATCTTTCAGATATATTTTCTCATGATACTCAAGCCCTCTTGAGAAAGAAGCAGATAGAAGCCTCATTCCAAAAAGTTATATTGGATGGATATGGGAGCTGTGGACTTCAGAATTTACACTTAAGGAAAGAGTGTGAAAGTGACGGTAAGTGTAAAGTTCACAACGGCTGTTATAATGGACATACAAAATGTAGGACAACTACCTATAACAAAAGCATCAGTGTACAAGAGGTGAAAAACATGAAAAAACTCAAGCTGTGTCAGTTGCCTTCTCTAAACCATGTATTTCTGTAACTAAATGTCAACATCAATTTTTGAAACATAACTTTGAAAGGAAATATGGAAAATCCGAATAGTGACTTAGTTCATGTTTCAAATAATCATGTAAATCAATTAAAATATAGAACTGGAGTAAATATTCAGTCAAATATTTCTGAAAAGGAGAGATTTCAAACTGAAGAGGTGATTTCTAAATATGATCAATTTGATGGGTCCTTTGTTAAAAGTTTGTTTCAACAAATTGCAAATAACACCTTGTTCTGCCTGTGATCAATATAGAAAGGTCTTCATTTATTCATGATTGCTTAGTCAATAGCAGGGCATAGATAATTTGGGAAAATTTCACACATATGATAAACCTTTGACAGCCTTTAAACAGGACTGTACCCTAAATAATTACCAGGATATTTGTCTTGCAGAGAAAAATCAGTACAATAAGTCTGATACAACATTAAGCCAAGGCATAAGCCCTAGAAGACATCAAAAAACTCATTTTCTACAGAACCATTACAAATGTAAAAAATGTGAGAAAGTCTTTCATGAATGTACCAACCATATCCATCAGAGTATCCATATTCAAGAGAAGTCTGCCAAATGTAAAAAATGTGTAGAAACTTTTATCCAGTCATCAAATACTCAGCCCCAGAGAACTCATATTGGAGAAAAGTCACACAGACGTAATAATGGTGAGAAAAACCTTAGTAAATTGTCAAGTCTAAGAAAACATAAGATAATCCATAATGAAGAGAAACCTTACAGATGTAGAGAATGTAACAAGGTTTTTAACTATATTTCACACCTTACTCAACATCAAAGAATTCATACTGGAGAGAAACCCTACAAATGTAAAGAATGTGGCAAAGCCTTCAATTCTAGTTCATATTTTAATAGCCATCAGCGAATCCACACTGGAGAAAAACTTTACAAATGCAAAGCATGTAGCAAATGTTTTACTCATTCTTCAAATCTTCTTGTGCATCAGAGAATTCATACTGGAGAGAAACCTTACAAATGTAAAGAATGTGGTAAATCATTTAGACTGTCTTCAGTCCTTACTCAACATGAGAGAATTCATACTGGAGAGAAACCCTACAAATGTAAAGAATGCAGCAAAGCCTTTAACTGTAGGTCGTACCTAACTAAACATCAGAGAATTCATACCGGAGAAAAACTTTACACATGTAAATCATGTAGCAAATCTTTTTCCCGTTCCTCAAGTCTTATTGTCCACCAGAGAATTCATACTGGAGAAAAACCATATAAATGCAAAGAATGTGGCAAAGCCTTTAGTTGCAGTTCACGCCTTACTCGACATCAAGAAATTCATACTGGAGAGAAACCCTACATATGTAAAGAATGTGGCAAAGCCTTTAACTGTAGTTCATACCTAACTAAACATCATAGAATTCATACTGGAGTAAAATTTTACAAATGCAAAGCATGTAACAGATCTTTCTCTCACTCCTCAACCCTTACTCGACATGAAAAAATTCATACTAGGCAATCTCTATAGTTGTAGTAAATGTGGAAAGAGTTTTATCCAAAATTAGAACTTAAAAATTGCCATAGAGTTTATAGGAAAACAGACCTTATAGATTGATTAAATGGGAGGAAGTATTTAATCAACACTCAAGTCTGAATGTGTCAAGACTTACCCAAAAAAGGACTAAAGCACAGATCCTCAGACTTTAAATTAAATAACAAGAGTATTTATTATGGAGAATTACTCTAAAGCCAAAGCAGTTATTTATTTTGTTTCTTAAATTAGTTGTTATACCTTAATGCCTAGTTTATATAAAAACATATAGTCTATTTTTTCTGCATCAGAGCTGTGAGAGGTCGTTGTAGGGTAGATGAGTATCATTAATATCAATTTATTTTCATGGAAGTTTAATGCAAATATAAAATGCATGAAGAAAATCTCAAAGATGCTCTTTGTGTTTAAATTATGAAACAGTAATGCATGTAAGCATATACTACGTATTTAGGGCATTATTATTCTATGCTAAAGTAAAAAAGGAATAGTCTGAATTTATTAATTACATCAGTTGCCCCTTAAATAGAAAAAAGTGATCAGTTATTTAAAATACTGGCATACCATTATAATACAATGAAGTAGTAATCTTGAATATTATTTGATGTGTTAAAAATAAAAATGTCTTCACAGATATGAGAGAAAAGTGAAAACTTGTATCTGAAAGATTGTAAATATACTTTATATCAATTTTCAAGAGGACTTTAATGTTGATAATATTCTCATAGTTACTATATTGTATTCTTTCCTGCTTTTTGTAGCTACTAGTGTACTAAAGCAGTTACAATAAAGATTATATGGGAGTATACTTAAAAGCCATACAGTTAAAATCTTGAATCACTATTTTTAAAATTATATTCAATAGTTTTCTTTATACATGCCCTTTTTCAATCCAATTGAACACCTACAGATTTTTCTTGGCTTTAATGTACATTAAATGGAATATACAGATATATCAAGATAGAAAGAAAAAGGTGTAAGAGAACTATACCAGCAGAAATGCATGTGTGTGTACCTATCTTCAAATGGAAAAGAAAATCACGGATCACAACAGGAAATTTGAGAACTATTGATTTACTACCAAACTAGAAACTTTACACATTCTCAAAGCAAAATAATTTCTCTATAGTACACTGAATTTTTCTCTCATAAATCTGATATCTTCTGGGTTCAAAGTCTATCCCATACAGATCCTTTTTTCTTGCCTATGATTCATGTAAGAATAATTATATGATTTTCTTATTTCAAAGCTTATAAAATGTTGCTTATATGTACTCTTGGATTTTTAAGAATGTTTTCATAAAATTTAATGGTGCTGGCCACACATGGCAGCTCATGCCAGTAATCCCAGCATTTTGGGAGGCTGAGATTGGTGAATCACCTGAGGTTGGGAGTTTGAGACCTAGCCAACATGGTGAAACCCCGTCTCTACTAAAAATATAAAAATTAGCCAGGTGTGGTGGCACCTGTCTGTAATCCCAGCTACCTGGGAGTCTGAGGCAGTAGAATCGCTTGAATTTGGGAGGCAGAAGTTGCAATGAGCTGAGATCATGCCATCTCAAAAAAAAAATAAAAAAGTTTTAATGGTGCTTAGAAATTAATCTGAGAACATAAGTAACTCTACAGTGATCTCTTTAATTACAATACAAAATTCTTACCATTTAGTTGAAGTAAAAGTAGTGTCAAAGCTATAAAATCTTGAAAACAGCCAGTTCAAAGCAAGAAATTACATAAAAGGAAAAACAAAGTAAGTGTAGTATAATAAGTCATAAAAAGTAATGGTTGCAAACGACAATGGAATCACGTTTTTTAAGTTCAGATAGGAAAACCTAGTATCAACACAAGATTCTGTACTCAGCAGAATTCTTTAAAAAATGAAACCAAGCCACAGTAGGATATCACACACCTATGAGAATGGTAAAAATAATTTTTTAAAATGTGAATACCAAGCACTGGTTAGGATTTGGAGCAAGTCAAATTCAGAACGCAAAATGACATAGTAACTTTGGAAAGTAGTTTAACCATTTTTTGTAAAGTTACTCATATATTATTTGAACCAGATGTCCCAACCCTAGGCATTTATTATACAAAACTGAAAACTAGTGATTAAAACCTGGTTGTGGATACTCGTTGCCACTATATTCATATTTGCAAAAAGCTAGAAATAAATCTTATGTCCCTTAGTAGGTAAATGGATAATAAACTGTGATATGTCTATACAAAAGATTGTGTTATTAACAAAAAGAAACAAACTGTCTATCTCCACTACTGCATGTATGAATCTTAAATACATTTCTCTAAATTGGGGCTATTGGATTAACAAGGCTATATATTGTATGATTCTATTTTATGACATTGCATAAAAGATTAAAGGAGTGGAAAAATGATTAGTGGTTGCCAAAGAATGGGAGGAGGACAGGCATTGATTACAAAGGGGCGGCAAGAAAAAATTTGGAGGATGATTCAACAGTTTAGTGTGGTCCTGTGGAAGTAGGGATGTGGCTACAAATTGTCAAAACCCAGTGAACTGTACACCACAGAGTAAATTTTACTCAATGCAAATTTTAAAAAATTAACCAGGATGCTGGGGAAATACATATGTAATGCACACAGTAACAAATGAATCTCATTGTATTACAGATTATCTGTCATTTGGCCGGGCATGGTGGCTCACACCTGTAATCCCAGCACTTTGGAAGCTGAGGTGGGAGGATCATTTGAGGTCAGGAGTTTGAGACCAATCTGGCCAACATAGTGATAAGTTATCTCTACTAAAAATACAAAAATTTAACTGGGTGTGGTGGTATACACCTGTAATCCCAGGTATTTGGGAGACTTAGGCAGGAGAGTTGCTTGAACCCAGGAGATGAAGGTTGTAGTGTGCCAAGTTTATACCACTGTACTCCAGCCTGGGCGACAGAGTAAGACTCTGTCTAAAAACAAATTATCTGTCATCTACCGATTCACATAGACCTACTGAAGAGGATGGGGATTAAAAAGTCTGGATCTCGGTGGCTCAAGCTTGTAATCCCAGCACTTTGGGAGGCCGAGGCGGGTGGATCACGAGGTCAACAGATGGAGACCATCCTGGTCAACATGGTGAAACCCCGTCTCTACTAAAAATTACAAAAAATTAGCTGGGCATGGTGGTGCGTGACTGTAATCCCAGCTACTCAGGAGGCTGAGGCAGGAGAATTGCCTGAACCCAGGGGGCGGAGGTTGCGGTGAGCTGAGATCGCGCCATTGCACTCCAGCCTGGGTAACAAGAGTGAAACTCCGTCTCAAAAAAAAAAAAAAAAGTCTGGATCTAAGTCACTTTGAAAAATGCTATTTTGATTGAACGCTGTAAGACTACACAAACATTGTATTCTGAGTAATATTTTATTTTCCCACAAGGATATGAATTAGCAATTCTGAAACTATTTTATATGTTATTATGTAATATATGTAGGCTGTTTCTCAGTGTAATTCACAAAAGTTAAAGGGTGAATGCTAGAATGAATCTTGTGATTCTAGCCTAAAGTTAGAAATATCAATATGAACCCATGTCTAATATATCTGGATGGATGGATGGATAGACAGACAGACAAACAGATAGACAGGCAGATGATTCAGAGATAGAGTTCCAAACTCTTGAGGGCCAAGAAGCAGTGACATCTAGTATCAATGAATACACCTAGGCCTACAGTCTTGGTTTCTAAACACCATTCATTAAAAGGAACCAAGGCTACATGTAAAAATGGATAATTCTAGGCTCAAGTTGGAAAATACAATTTGAGCTAGAGTATCTTGTAAAGCCACAAATCAAAAAGTGCTTAATGCAATTGATGGGGACTTGTCAAAGGGTACCAACCTGAAAGACCTCCCAGTGGTCCAAGCTGCAACAGTATGGGCAATAAATAATGATAACTTTGGATTATAGCCCAGAGAATAAAGTAATATTCACACATCTCTACTGACATAAAAGCAATTAAATTAATAAGGAAAGAAGGAAGGATATCTTGCAATATTCAAAATACAAATCAATGTAATTGGATAATGCGAAATAACACCAAAACATACCAGTAATAATTACTGTAGGCAGCATTCCCTGAGGGATTCAAACATTTCAGGAAACACTTAAACACTAAAGAGTATATTTGGGCCAGGCACGATGGTGCATGCCTGTAATCCCAGCACTGCAGGAGGCCGAGGTGGGTGGATCACCTGAGGTCAAGGAGTTCGAGACTAGCCCGGCCAACATGGTAAAACCCCATCTCTACTGAAAATGCAAAAATTAGGTAGGCGTGGTGGCAGGCACCTGTAATTCCAGCTACTTGGGAGACTGAGGAAGAAGAATCGCTTGAACCTGGGAGGTGGAGGTTACCATGAGCCGAGATTGTGCCATTGCACTCCAGCCTGGGCGACAAGAGTGGAACTCTGTATCAAAAAAACAAGAAGTATATTTTCATATTCTAAGTGTCTATTGTCCAATATTTACTAGTACCTTTTTTCTTAATTTCTTAGACTTATGACTATTTGAAACAAATTATAACACTGTATTTGTATTGCTTTGAAAAGGGGTGAAGTTTATACGGGTCTATTTATTTGTCTAAAAGTTCCAGTTAAGGTTTATGCCTTGTAAAGTATGTACATCTTCACAAAAAATATCTTTAAAAAGTTAAGTGGGTGGGGGTAGGGAAAGGGCTGACATACAGATGAAGCAGAAGTGATACATGATTAGTAGTTGAATCTGGGTGACAGGTCTATATACTATTTTGTTTTTATGTGTTTCATAGCACTTGTACATGTGCAGTATTCATTTACAGTGTTTTCTCAGGATCTTGTTTACCTTTGGACAGGGAGGAAGGGAGAAAGTTACTTTCTGGGCAAGAGTAAAGCTAGTTCCACTCCTCAGTTATGTAAAGTCCTCTGTTATAATCTATAAAACTTCACATGAATGTTTCTGTATGCATGTTGTATAGCAATAAAAAGTTAAATATTACATATTTGCACAACAATCCTAACTCTCTCAGAATATTGTTAGTGTTTTCTTTTGTCATAAAGTGGAATAGGATCTCTCGTGGCATTATCAGATGGGTTTGAATATTCTAAAGTATCAACGTCCTGATCTTTTGGACACCTCTTGGGTCTTTCCATTTTTGCCTTAATTTGGTAAGTGGCATGGTTTTGATTTTTTGAGATGAAACTTTTCGCAGCAAAGTCTTTTCCCCACAGTGACGCTCTGAAGGCCAGGACACCTAGCACAGGACCCTGGGCACAGTCTGCACTCGGTACATGTGGAGCATGTTGATCAGCAACAAAAGGAGTAGCAAAGGTCAGTTCCTGTGAAAGATGAGTAGATTTAATACAGGTATGACTGAAAGGCTGCAACTCAGGGGTAAACATTTTATATTCATTCAAGAGACCATTTGCAACTAGTACACCAAAAACATTTGGCTTAAAGCAGTAGTTTGGGGGCTTGGCTACACTGTGTAATCCCCTGGAGAACTTTAAATAATACGGATGTCTGGGCCCTACACCAGGGATTTTGATTTTATTGGTCTGTTGCAATTTGGGTTTTGGGAATTGTAAAACCCCTACATGTGACTCGATAATGTGGAGTTAGGGGTGAGACCCACTGTTTCAGGGTGAGGGATGCATTAGTTGTGTGTGATTTCCATGTGTGCTGCAGATATTTGCCCTATGACCACTCCTGTGTTTGGAGTCTTGGAAAGGGCAGCAGGAAGAAATATTTGTCTACCCAACTGTTTTATATCACTTGCTTTTAGAGTAAGAAGTTATTTCAGGCACAGTAATTTGGTTTAATCTTTGTTGAAAGCATAAATAATCTGAAAATACCAAAATGAAAAGAATTTGCAAATGTGAGAATTTGCAAAGATGTGGAGTGTGTTCTTGTGTGTTTTCCAATTTCTCTGATGATGAAAAATGAATACTGTTGGGCCTTGATGTCCTAAGCTCAGTTCTCAGACACTTTCTCAGATTATTTGAAGACTTTCCAAGTTGCTTCAGAAGCATTGTTCAAAGGAGATTATTATCAGTAGTGAAGAGCAATAGATGGATGAGAATGTGTAAGGAATCCTGCTTCTGTCACAGAAGTGGCACTCTCCAGAACCTCAAGGGCCCACGGAGTTCATAGGTTTGGAGTCAGGCAGAGTTGACCCTGAGTCCCATCCAAGCCTCTTAATAGACTGGTTACTTGACTTGGAACAGTTATACAAGAAGAGACATAATGATACTGATTGCAGGAATGGGAACAATTCATTCCTCTCTCTATCCATGCCCTTTGAAATGTGTGCTTTTAGCTACTCCCAATGAGGGAAAGATTCTGTTTACCCAATACGTGGCTCTGACTGGCCTTACTTGCTGTGGCCATTGTTCTAGTGCAACAATTAGGCATGTTTTACTCCTCATTCTAGTCTTTATTCAATTAATATTAACATGATATTTTATGAAATTTTATTTCTTCTGTATTTGGCTGTATTTATTCTGCTCGGTATTCTAGTTCACTAGTCCTCTTATCATCCCTGTTGAGTTTAGTGGTGAACCTGTACATTGTCTAATAACTTCATTTTGTATTATTCACATTCTATTGGGCTGTTGTACAAATGTGGCTTTTAAACTTTAGTTTCTTGTTCTTTCCACAAAAATAAATGTTGATTTTCTACTTTTCGTTGTATTCATTTAAACATTTTAAATATAATTCCAGTGTGCAAAGCTGTTGCATATTTTTTCTTCCGACATTTCTTCCTTTTTATGTCACTCAGTTTTTCCTTTGGTTCTCACTTTTGGAAGATACCATATTTGGGGTGTATATAGTCATTATTTCCAGTGTTTCTTCCATTTTCCCCGGGAGCAAGATGAACACACATAGATTTGATGTCCTTGTGCTCAGCCAGTATCTGAAGGGAGCATTTTTTTCTTAGTTTGACTCTGGGTCATTCTGTTTATTTATTTCTGCTCCTGTCGAGTTCTTACACTTCCCTTTAACTCCATTCGGCAACTTAAAGGTTCTTGTAACTTCTCGAGGATTTTTTAGTTATTTATCTTAAAATATTTAATAATATATAGCATTTTTATGTTAAAAAAAAATTTTATTTTTATTTATAAAAGCACAAATATCCACAGTGTACATGAGTAAAATATTTCAATAGACATTGTGCCGCATACAGCGGCATCTTATGAGATACCCTGTTTCTTCATTCAGAACATTCCTCTCAAATACGCCATGTGGTAATAGGAATTTATAAACAGTAGTTTTTTTGATAACTTAAACATTTTTTTGCACACTTCTGAAAATACATACTTCACACCAATGAACAGAACTGATACAGATACAGCTACAATTACTGTTTTCTATAACATTAATATTGATTAAATTGTTTACCTGAATTTAAGTCTTTTGGCTTTAATCACTGCTTCCTTTTTAGCATGTTCCTGAATTTACAAAAAAATCTGGATTTTCTGCTTATTCTATAAATTAATTAAAAGAGACAAGGGAAATGTGTGCGGCTAGATAGTACTTGGTTGCAATTTATAATTTCTAGTGTCATTTTAGTTGCCTAGAAAATGGGGACCTATTGAATTTCTGCTCTAATAAAATTCATGACATTGTTAGGCCTACACTTCACCATTTATTTTTTTCACCTCTGGTACTGGAATATAATGTGTGTCTTCTCTTTACTGGTGAAAAATGCTACCCATTTGTCTCTACCTAATTAGTCCAACTTTAACCAAGGTGTTTAGAATGTGTATGTTCATTTAGTTACTGTATACCAAAACATTTTATTTCTGTGATGGTTTTAATGTTACCTAACAATTGTAAATAAGTCGGTTTGTCATTTTTCATGAACTTCTGTATTATACATTTCAGGAATTAAGTCCACATGTAAATGCCTTAGAATAATCCCTAACACATGGTAGGGGCTACTAAGTAGCAACTTTCCCAACATGCAACTGATAAACCCCAGGCATGTTTGAATTGTCCCACCACATGTAATTTTTCCATCTCTGTGTTTATACATTAGCTACATGTGATTCCAACTCATGACCCCTTGCATTAACTCACATACCCCTGATGAGTTCCCTTAGAATTAGGTAACTCCTGATGAGTTCTTGTAGAACTGGGTAACTATCATGATCTCCATTGCACAGGTAGGGAGAGTGTGGATCCTCTGAGAAGCACAATGACATATCTAGGATGACGTAACTGGTAAATTTATTAAAAGGAGGTTCTGACCTAGCTCTCCTCAACCTATAGTCCAGGCTTCACTGAGTCTTCTCAGAGGCTGGGGGAGAGGAGTCTGTGTTTGCATAATGGTGTACAGGTAATAAAATAACATGGGGAAGCAAGATGAGCAGTCAGCATCCCAGAGAAGCCTTTGGGTAGGTCTTAGTAAGAGAATGATGAAAACTTGAAGAAGTGGCCTCACTTCCTTGGTGAAAGACCCCAACATAACTTAGAACTTTGATAACCAGGCACTCAGATTTCTGAAGACAGTCTCCTATCAAGCTTAGTTAGCCAGAGACTGTCAAGAGAGCAAGATGTTCTGCTGTATCCCAACTTTTCAAAGCTCTTGCTACAGTGAGAGCCTTTTCTAAAGATGCAGAATTTGGCTCAGCTCTCAATCTCTCAAGTCCATGCTTCAGGCCATTTGGCAAAAGGTACCCCAAAGTAACCACAGGGTAGCCCTTTCCATGCCAGTCCTTCAGATCCCATCTGGACAACCTCATCCCCTCTCCTCATCACCATATATGTGTGTAGGGGTGAGGAGCAGAAGGTGAGGTGAGGCTCTTCCTGGGAAGGAGCAGGTTGTTAGGTGCTGGAACTACTGCATTCATACCCCAGGTCATGACTGGCAGGATAGGAAGATGAGTGTTGGGGATTAAGCTTGTTTACTCAGATTTGATTCTGAAACCTCAAGCTGTCATGTGGTTTTTGCCCTGGCTGGAAGTTCATGGAGATGCTCCTCTGTTTCTGATCTAGAATGTAGAACTTTAATCAGAGTATTTCCTTGTGGGAACAGCCAAGCAGGCCACTAAAACCTCTCAATGAATTTGCTGAATACTCTATTTGCAAAATTCCATGCAGGAGATCAGTGAAGAGCTGTTTGATAGGTCTAACTCTTATCTCCTTGGACAAAAGACAGTAGCAACACATTATCAACCATGGGTCACTGCTGGGCAAGCATGAGAGTGAGCACAGAAGGGTCAACACAGACAAGGACCTGAGATGACCATGGTGGGCCCAGGGCCCAAACCTGAGTACAGAGACTCCCCTGGGCTCTGTCCTATATTTTTGCCAATTTAGTGGCCGATAATCCCATTCCCAAAGGAATCTGGCCTCCATTAGTCCCCAGTGCACCTAACTTGGCTAGGTGCAAAGTCCCTGTCCACATACTTATAAAAATATCAGAGAAAACACTTTTTCATTGTTTTTACTTTACAATAGGCCATGAGTATCTTTGCATGTTTTCACTGTTTATTGTTTTAACTTGCCCCAAGTATTCTATGTAGCAGTCAGTTCCACTGCTCTTCCAGACCTCCCACCATTACTCTAAACTGGGTGATTTCTAGAGGAAAAGGAGGGGTTTAGGCTCTTCTGTCATTTGTTTGTAACTTTTAGTCTTATAAAACATATCATCATAACCCTGCCAGGTCAGAAACAGCCCTCACTTGCCTTCGTAATATTCCATAAGCAAGGCTGTTTCCCACAGTGGTGCATCCTTTCTGTGCTGATGCAGATTGTTGTGATTCAGTTCTGTGGTCATCCCAGCCACACTATAGGGGAATCCTATGTTTTTTCTAAAAGACTATCAAGTTTGCTGGGGCTGCCATACCACATTACCAGATTAACACATGCTGCTGGGTGGCTTTAGAAACAAAAATGAACTCAATTCTGGAGACGAAAAGTCCCATATCGAAGTGTTAGCAATGATGATTTCTCTCATTCAGTGACTTCCATTTTTATATTTTCATGGTGTTTGAAAAAAAAAACATTTTAAATTTGGTAAACTCTAGTTTTCTCTTTTTGATTATCCTTTGGTGTAAAATCTAAAATATCATTGTCTAATGCAAGTTTACAAAAATTTAATATTCCTCCTAAGAATACACTTCCAGTGTAAAGTTCTTGCACTTCTTTTGTTAAATTTATCCCTGGGAGGTAGGGGCCAAGATAGGCGGCTAAAAACAGCTGCAGTTGAAGGCTCCCAATGAGAAGGATAAAAACAGCTAGTGAATCCTGCACCAGCAACTGAGGTATCCAGGTTCTCTCAATGGTACTGACTGGGCAGGGGCATTTCCCATGGGGAGTGAGGAATAGTAGGGTGATGCGATGGCCCACCTGGGAACCACACAGGGCAAGGGGAGCAGCCAACCGCATCCAAGGGAGGCGGTGAGTTATTCTGCTACCCTGCCTGGGAAACCATTGCTTTTTCCATGGATCTGTGAAACCTATAGATCAAAAGGTCCTCCTCATGAGCCCACACCACCAGGGCTTGGAGTCCCAAGCACAGAGCTATACCGACTTTTAGCAGCCACTTGGCTGAAGACTGCCTAAGACTACCAAGTTCCCAGGAAGAGGGGTGGCCATGATCACTGCAGCTGCCTCATGCCTAAGATAACAGCTCCCAGGGGGAGGGGCGACAGCCATCACTGCAGTTCTGGCCTGCCATTTTTCTTCTGCCAGTGCCAAGGAGACTGGAACGTTTGGACCCAGAAGGAATTCCCCACAGTGCAGCACAGCAGCTGTGGCAGATTGTGGCTGGACTGCCTCTTCAGACTGGACCCTGACCCAACGCTCCTCAGGGGGTGGCATGGGGGGCCTCCCTAAAGGAATTTTAGCAACTCCAGCCAGGGGTTTAGGGAGAGACCTCCAATCCCCCTGGGATTGAACTTCTTAGGGAAGGGGCAGCCACAGTCTCTGTGGATCAGCAGTTTTTCCCCTGCTTGTTGTGAGGAATTCGGGCACTCCAGATGAGTAGGATTCCCCCAGTGCAGCTCATCCCCTCTGCAAATGGGCAGCCAGAATGCTTTGTTAAGTGAGTCCCGGATTCCATGCCTCCTGACTGAGTGAGATCCCCCAAAGGGATCACCAGACACCTTATACAGGAGAGTTCCTGCTGGCACCAGTTCAGTGCTCCTCTGGGGCAGAAATTTCAGAGGAAGGAGCAGGAAGCTATCTTTGCTATTCTGCACCCTCCACTAGTGACACCTCTGGGTGGGGAGGAATTCAGGCAAATAGTGTCTGGAATGGAACCCCAGCAAACCACAGCAGCCCTATGGAAGAAGGCCCTGACTGTTAAAAGAAAAACAGACAGAAAGCAACAACAACAATAGCATCAACAAAAATATCACCACAAAAACCCTATCCAAAGGTCAGCCCCCTCAAAGATCAAAGGTAGATAAACTCATGAAGATGAGAAAGAATCACCAAAAAAGCTCTAAAACCTCAAATAGCCAGAGGACCTCTTCTCCAAATGATTACAACACCTCTCCAGCAAGAGGAGGGAGGCTGAGATGGATGAACGGACAGAAGTAGGCTTCAGAAGGTGGGTAATAGTGAACGCTGAGATAAAGAAGCATTCTAACCCAATGCAAACAAGCTGAGAACCATGATAAAGCATAAGGGACTGTTAACTAGAGCAATCAGTTTAGAGGAACATAAAA